CTAATTATAGATAGTAAAGAAAAATAAGTTTATAGCAGATGTAGTCATGTAAGGATGATATTTGATGTTTCTGCGTGGCATGTCCTCTTAGTTAAGACTACTCCTCTCTCCTCTTGCTTATTTACCATGGCTGGCGTCATCGAAGTCGAGTGGATAAACTAGATAAATTATTACATGTTTAGTAGTAGGAATTATTTAAAAAAGGAATTTGGTTTTTAGAATTGCTGCGATATAGAGTCATTTTCATGCGTCTGTGAAACAATTACTACTAGTCAGTGTTTAATAGTAACTATTGGTGTAGAGGCTACCAAAAGGCAAAATCAATACAATACCGTTTTTGCCTAATTTGTTTGTCGCGTGTCATAAGTTAAACTCTGTTTGGGGCTAATAGGGGGTATTAGTATTTAATATTACAATTACTATTTCACAGACGAATGAAAATGAGTCTAGTTCGCTTTGAGTAATTGAAGAGACAAAATCATAGCTTGAGTATCAGGCTCGATTGGCCACAATCCCCTTCGAGAGACCCTGATCAGTCAGGCTAACAAAATCATGGCGTGCCTCTTAGTAAAAATATTTGACGTCATTCCACTTTCATAGTTTCCAATTTACAACTCGAAAAATAAAATACTGAAGAAATTTAGATACGTCTAAAGTAGCAACTGACTTTCATGTTCTGCCATTTCTAAGAAACGCTATTATTATTATAATCATTTCTTGTTTTCTTCTTAATCTTCCTCCTTTTTTTTTCTTTCGCTGTCGGAAACAAAAAATAGCTCTTTTGAGTTTAATTACTATTATGTTGTTTAGTGAGTTTTAGGGTTCTTCAAACAAGAGTTTTAACAGGTCAATGTAATGTGCAAGGCAACCGTTGTGATGTTGTGGAAACCTATAGTGTCTTTGAAAATATGTAATCGGAAAAAGGCAATTTAACTGTAATATAATAATAATTTTTAGGTTTTTTTCTTTTTTCGGCTTTAGAAACGTGTGGAAACAGCTCGAGATTGTCATCGCTTTCATCTTTTTTCTGTTTTCTATCATTTCAGTTTTAGGTGTGTTCCATATAAAGAGGGTCTCAATGGGGTAAACCGTGAGCCGTGAAACGGCTTAAAAATAGCCGTGAATCGTAAAAATGAGAAAAAATTAGCCGTGAGGCGTAAAACATGGTGAAAAAGCCAAATTTGTAGCCGTGAGTCGTGATGCGGACCCCCCATTGATACCCTCTATTAACAAACCAGGGTTTGATAGTTTCTCGTTAGTACCACGTCGCGTCGTAAAAATTGTTATTCATAACAATTAACAATATTGATAAATAACAATTTTTAAGTGAGATGGTACCCCGTTCCAGAGGCTTGTCTATTATTCTTTTGCTTGGCTGTGTTATCGCAAGAGAACTTGGATATCGAGACGCGAAGCGGGGAGACGTTTCCGTTAATCGGTTTGTTTTAACCAACCATGGTTAATAAGAGAACACCACGATTATGTTAGTTTATTTTGTTTTTTATAAAAAAAATTGTTGCAAAGTTTCAATTGGATTGATACATTTTAACCTGGTCAAATAAGCAAAGTTTGCTTCAAGATACGTTCAAGAATTTATGTTTTGACTGCAAGGTCGATAGCGCACGAGAAAATGTTTCAATTTATTCAGGCATATGACTGCTATAACAAATAGATTGGAAAACTGACGGACTCGTAAGTTATGCGAAAATGCAATCTCGAGCGCAGARTCTTCACGGCTAATGTCAGCACACGCATTGACATCCGCTGGATGGCAAAAGTGCGGGCTCTGGGTACGAGATTGGCGAAAATGCGAAACGAGATTTTTGAGATTACAAATATAGTTGGGCTGCCTCTGGGACGTGAGGAGGGTCTGGGTACAAGAATACAAAATGGCGGAAAAGCGGAGAATGAATGATACAGAAAAATCACGCACGTCCAGTCGTTGTTTTCCCCATCAAGCAAGCAAGTTTGCGAGGTAATCTTACAGTTAGGTAGTTTATGTATATTCCATTTGTTATTTGAGAATTTTGCCGAATAGATCAACAGTATGAACAAGATGAGTTTTTGCCAGGAACAACATGAACAGTGTTAATGTTTTGCAGCTTAAAAAGAGCATTTTTGTGTTGTTACTGTTGTCATGTTCACAAGTTTTACATGTAACGCAAGCAATACGATTAAGTTTAAGCTATAAAAGCAAAGCTGTAAACTATCTGTTTATGCTCTCATAGAAGCGACGCTTTCSTATGAAGAATGCAGTGCCTCAAGTGAAGTAAGATTTTACCCTGGTCTAAGAAATGAGTGTATTGCTAACAAGGTGGAAGATTAAACAGTTGCTTTGTTGCTTCTCTGCACTTTTTTTATTTATCCTCTTCTACAACTATCGGTTACTTCTTGATTACCAAAGTGGAAGAAAATATAGAAGAGAAGGTGAGGTTTTGTCAAATCGTTTTATGTTAATCATTGCCATCTAAAGTTGTTTCTGAGTTCCTGAGCAAAAGAGGTCACCCTATATAGGTAAGGTTGGAAATGCTTAGCATCCCTTTTTCTTTGTTGGAATGCCTCCAGTAGTGCCCACTCAAAGTAGAAAATAGTCTCCATCATGATTCCGTGCTTTAGCTTGAAAGGCAATCAACAGGTGAACATGCAGAATCCTTCATTCAAAGCCTATTCAAACAAGAGAGTAGTCTCCTTTGCAGCCCCCCCCCTTTTTGTTGGGCTTCCTGTCCCTCCCAAAAG